TGCTGGCGGATCCCCTGGGGTTCGAGGCCCCTGTTCCTCGCAAGGGGCCGGTGCCGGGGTCACTGCTGGGGCGACCTGCAGGGTTCAAACACAGACAGGATGGGGACAGGCCCTGGGCAGAGAGGCTCTGTAGGCACAGCCCGTCTGGGAGCCAGGCTCCCCGCGGGGCAGGGATGGATGGAGAGACCCTCACACCCAGCCCCTCCGGGAGCTGCCCACCCGCCTCTCCTGCTGGAACCGCTCCACACGGGGGCCCCGGAAGCCATGGGGCCGGTTGTGTGAGCTGCGGGGTGGCCGGGATCCGCCCTCCCCCCGGGGAAGACAAGGGGCAGGAGCAGGGATGCTCCGCTCCTCCAGGCAGGCACCCACCTGGGCATCACGGACAGGACCCTCCTCTCTGCCAGGCGGAGCAGCCCAGCCCGGAGCCCGCGAGGGAGCCGCACGAAGGGCCGGTCCTGCCCAGGGCTCCTGGCCCTGCTTTGCCCACCCCAGAGGATCCCCCGCTGCCCCGCCAGCTCAAAGCAGCAGCTTCCCCGAGGCTCCCTCCCAGGCTGCCCCTCACAGCGCGGCGAGTGCCCGGGGGGCTGGGCGAGCTGGCTCAGGGACTCGGCTGCCCCGTGCTGAGAACGCCCAGGGCACCTCGGCAGATGCCCCCTGGCACCCGGACACGGACGCCCTGGCCTTGCCGTGGCAACACTGGGTTTGAAACCCGGCGCCTTCCGTTCGACAAGGAGCCCTGTGGACAAGAGCAAACCCGCCCGGCTCTGCCCAAGAGGGGCCCTGGTGCGCAACAGGGGGCTGTGGGTCGGGAGAGAGGGGCGTTGGCAGAGCTGGGGGGAGGAGGGCTGGAGTAGCCTGGGCTGTGGGCCAGGACGGAGGGGTGTTGGCAGAGCTGGGGGGCAGGGCTGGAGTAGCCGGGGGCTGTGGGTCGGGACGGAGGGGCGTTGGCAGAGCTGGGGGGGGCAGGGCTGGAGTAGCCGGGGGCTGTGGGTCGGGACGGAGGGGCGTTGGCAGAGCTGGGGGGGGCAGGGCTGGAGTAGCCGGGGGCTGTGGGTCGGGACGGAGGGGCGTTGGCAGAGCTGGGGGGGGCAGGGCTGGAGTAGCCGGGGGCTGTGGGTCGGGACGGAGGGGCGTTGGCAGAGCTGGGGGGGGCAGGGCTGGAGTAGCCGGGGGCTGTGGGTCGGGACGGAGGGGCGTTGGCAGAGCTGGGGGGGGCAGGGCTGGAGTAGCCGGGGGCTGTGGGTCGGGACGGAGGGGCGTTGGCAGAGCTGGGGGGGGCAGGGCTGGAGTAGCCGGGGGCTGTGGGTCGGGACGGAGGGGCGTTGGCAGAGCTGGGGGGGGCAGGGCTGGAGTAGCCGGGGGCTGTGGGTCGGGACGGAGGGGCGTTGGCAGAGCTGGGGGGGGCAGGGCTGGAGTAGCCGGGGGCTGTGGGTCGGGACGGAGGGGCGTTGGCAGAGCTGGGGGGGGCAGGGCTGGAGTAGCCGGGGGCTGTGGGTCGGGACGGAGGGGCGTTGGCAGAGCTGGGGGGGGCAGGGCTGGAGTAGCCGGGGGCTGTGGGTCGGGACGGAGGGGCGTTGGCAGAGCTGGGGGGGGCAGGGCTGGAGTAGCCGGGGGCTGTGGGTCGGGACGGAGGGGCGTTGGCAGAGCTGGGGGGGGCAGGGCTGGAGTAGCCGGGGGCTGTGGGTCGGGACGGAGGGGCGTTGGCAGAGCTGGGGGGGGCAGGGCTGGAGTAGCCGGGGGCTGTGGGTCGGGACGGAGGGGCGTTGGCAGAGCTGGGGGGGGCAGGGCTGGAGTAGCCGGGGGCTGTGGGTCGGGACGGAGGGGCGTTGGCAGAGCTGGGGGGGGCAGGGCTGGAGTAGCCGGGGGCTGTGGGTCGGGACGGAGGGGCGTTGGCAGAGCTGGGGGGGGCAGGGCTGGAGTAGCCGGGGGCTGTGGGTCGGGACGGAGGGGCGTTGGCAGAGCTGGGGGGGGCAGGGCTGGAGTAGCCGGGGGCTGTGGGTCGGGACGGAGGGGCGTTGGCAGAGCTGGGGGGGGCAGGGCTGGAGTAGCGTGGCTGCGTGTCGGGAGGCAGGTGCCAGCAGGGCTGTGCGGGGGCCCCGGGCTGCAGGGTGCCGTGCGCAGGGGTGCCGGGGTCTGGCTGTGCCTCCCAGCCGAAGGACGCCCGCAGGGAGCAGGCGCTAGGGTGACAGCGAGCACAGGAGGCCCAGCCCAGTGGACCCAGGGCAGGCGCCACTCGCCTGGGCAAACCAGGGCCCCAGCGGGCAGAGGGCAGGGGAGGGTCCTGGAGGCGGCGTGAGGAGGGGGATGAGCTGCTGGGGCGCACGGTGACCGGCTGGCGGGACCCGCAATGCCCAGCCAGCCTCCTGGGGACAGGGGCTTCTGCAGGGCCCAGCAGCCTCAGGCCTGGGGAGCAGTGGGGAGAGGAGCTGGGAAGAGCAGGAGGGGATTTGCCTCCCCTCCCCCGGGGAACCCGCCCAGAGCTGGGGCAGAGCCCCCCCTGCACTGGCTCCCCTTGGACTCGGCCCCCAGCCGTGCTGCCGCTCGGGGAAGCTGTGCTGGAAGAGGGGCCCCTTCGGATCTCGGTGCCCAGCGGGGTCCTGCCCTCCCCCCCCGCCTCCTTGTGCAACCAATGGGCACCACGCTGCTCTCTCCCCCTTCCAGGAGTCACCGGGGTGCCCCTCACCATGGCGCCTGACCCAGCTCGCCATGCAGAGCCCTCGGTTGGCGTGGAAGGGGTTGCACTGGCCTCTGTGCCCGGCTCGGCACCTGCCCCTCGCCCACGGAGGCGCCACGACGGTGACATGCAGACAGGGCACGGGGAGCCCCGGGGGCAGGGAGCAGCAAGGGGGCTTTCCCCTGCCCTTGGCACCCGGCCGTGGCCCATGGCTTTCACCCCGGGGGGGACGTGTGGCACCTTCCTGGGCACACGCTCTGCCTGGCTCCGGCATACACTTAGTTTGGGCTCAGATCCAGAGAGGCGCCCGGCTGCCCCGCGCTCCCAACCTCCCCCCGCCAGGCCCCCG